CCTTGCGCGGACCCGGCCGGACCCATCCCCGGGAGCTGAGGTGCAGGTATCCGGTCTCTCTCAAGCTCTGTTCAAAGCAGCACCGGGTGCAGCTTTAAAGGAGAGCTGCCCGGGCCGTGTGATGGCCCAGGACACACGCCCTGGCTTCCCGGGCTCATGTCCCCTCTCCGGGAAGAAGCTCCCTCTGAAGCCAGCGGGCCTGAGCCCAGTCTCAGGAGACCGCAGGCTCGTTGACAGCTTTGGAGGTGTCAGTGAAATGTCTCTTAAAATAACTTCCCAAACTGCGCGTCACGGCGAGGGAGGCAAGTGGTATCTGAGGGCTCCAGCCCTGAGCTGCTTGGCTCCCAGGATAAGATTAGCCCGGCCACTTCCCCCCTGCGCCGCCCCGTGACCCACAGTTTCCGTGGCAGCCTCTCCTTCGGGATGTGCCGGGATGTGGCAGCGGCACCAGGCTCACGCTTCCAAAGGTTCCCGCTGACATCGCTGGGAGCAGAGCTGCATTTATTTGTTTATGTCAAATGATGCTGATGCTCCCAGTGATGAGCCAGATGAGATGTGACAGGGTTCCCCCGGGCGTCGAGCGCTGACCCCCGCGCTTGGACTGGGCTGTCCCCAGCCTGTCATCTGTATGTCCTTTCCCAGGAGAGCCGAGGCAAGGGCTAAATCATGACAGCTTCCCCTTCCCCTCAAAGGCTCAGCAAGTGTCCGGATCCTCCTCACCCCTCCCGTACCGGGCAGCCTCTACATCAGCGCTGAGCCTTCCCCTCTCTCCCTATTCAGATGCAAATGTCCCCAGCCTCCGCAAGTTGTCGCTGCCAAGTACAACCCCCCGTCCCCCTCCGACCGCTCGACTTCCCGGTGGGACGGGCGGCTCTGGAGATGGGCTAGCCCGAGCCCTTGCACGGGTTATGGGCTCAGTCGGCCTCTGGGTGCTGTCTTTTAATTTAAAGGCTAATGATTCCATGCAGGAGCTCCCACCGAAGCGGCTTTCCAAGTTCGGAACAAGACCGTGGATACTGGTTAACGGTCTCCCTGTAAGCAGGACTTGCTTTGAAAACCTCGGTACGAGTGTGCCACAAATGCAAAGCTGTCTCTTGTGTCAGATTGGTTGGACGCTTTAAATCTGAAACCTGACATTTACCAGTGGAGTTGCTCTAAGTTGCTCTCAATTCTCTTTGCAGGTCATCCTCGCTTTTTCAATCAGCTCTCCACAGGGCTGGACATCATTGGCCTGGCCGGGGAGTGGCTGACATCGACTGCTAATACAAACATGTAAGCAGTGTCTTGTCGTCAGCGTCTGTGAGCGCTGCTCACGGCGGCTGCCATCTAGCATGGTAGACATGCATTGTCGCAGACCTGTGTGATTTTCTTCTTTAAATCACAATTGCTGTGTCTTCAATAAAAGCGTCTCCTATTTTTCTTAATGTGGCAGTAATGCAGTGAAAACTGTTAAATAAAGCTGAACAGTTTTACATTTCTGATCAACAGAAATACAAATATCCCAGAGCACATGGTAAGTTAAACATGATGATTCTAATGCAATCACATGAAATGATTTTTCTTCTAATGGACCAATCTTCTTTATTATTTCCTGATTTCTTGTTAAAGCTTTATCTCTAGACTGAGTAATTCTGCAGCTTCTGGGTGGCTTCAAAATGATTTAAAATGTAGCATCGAAAATTAATTTGATTATAATGAAGGAAATAGTCTAAGATTTATTAAAATTGTATATAAATAGAAAATGGAAGTATTAAAAAGTTAAATTTTACATCTAGAACATATAAATGAGACCTTGAGGAACCTGGTCTAGTGGAAGGTGCTCCTGCTCATGGCAGGGAGGTTTGGAACTAGATGATTTTTAAGATCCCTTCCAAGCCAAACCATTGTATGATTTTATGAGTCTATGAAACTTTCCCTAATTTTTCTTGACCTCAAAATGAATGAAAGCTAGATGTAAATGTAATGCATTATGTTGAATTTTTGCAACAGAGTGTAATTAATGAAAAAACCACAAACTCCCCCCAAAACCCACCACCAAACCAAAAAACCTAGCTAGTTTTTATATATTTAAATATATTCGTATAGGCTTAAAAATGTGATCAGAGTCCAAATACTTGGCCAGGTAACAGGTTGCTCTGTTTTAGTCTTGTATTGGATATGTTTTAACTCTAAATATACCTCTGTTTTGGCTAGTTTGTTGCTAATTGGCAGAACACGGGAAATATATTTGCAGATGGGGAAATCAACAGTATTTTCACTGGCCCATCCGTAAGTATAAGGTTCATTAAGTATAGCTGATTACTAGCAGCTCTATGTAGATCATGAGCTGTGTCTGTTTCGTGACATTAGCAATAAAGAAAATACAAAAGGTGCTCCAATTATCTTCTTGATGATTGTCTTCTCAGTTAGTTCTCTGGTCGCTAAAAATTGGTACGAGATATTCAGGTTTAAAAGCTGATTGGGAAGAAACCCCAGCAACGTATATTGTAATTGTAAAACAAGTGCTGCAAAGTGCTTTAAAATGTGAAAACAAATCTGATTACATTTCTAAAAGAAAACTTTGATTAATGTTGTCCCTCCGTGACCAAAACATACTTCCGAGCATGTCATTTTCTGCAAGCCCCTTTTCTTTTGACTTAGTTATCCTAGCTTAGTTATCCTTTTGTAATCAATTGCACAAATCCAATAGTACATAATGGAACTCAGCTCCATGGCTGTGATGGTATTATGAAATATTGACATCATTATTAAGACCATTGAACTCACTTCTGAAGAGTAACTTCTCTTTTTAAAATGAGGTTGTTTTTTCCTTTGGTTTTAAAAATGAATTGTTAAATAGCTAGTGTTGTAAAGCTAGTTTCTGATCTGTTTAAACTTATCTTGAACATATCTTGAAAATGATTCTCTGAAGTATGAAAATTGAGTATCTGTTTGCTTGTATGAGGTATAGCCAATGCAAAATAATCATAGAATGGTTAGGGTTGGAAAGGACCTTAAGATCATCTAGTTCCAACCCCCCTGCCATGAGCAGAGACACCTCGCACTAAACCATGTCGCCCAAGGCTCTGTCCAGCCTGGCCTTGAACACTGCCAGGGATGAAGCATTCACATAATTCCTTGGGCAACCCATTCCAGTGCCTCACCACCCTCACTGTAAGGAACTTCTTCCTTATATTGAAACTGAACTTTCCCTGTTTAAGTTTAAACCCATTACCCCTTGTCCTATCACTACAGCCCCTGATGAAGAGTCCCTCAGGCATCCTTGTAGACCCCCTTCAGATACCGGAAGGCTGCTATGAGGTCTTCACACAGCCTTTTTTACCCCTTAATGCATCACACTCTTTTTTTCAGCAAACCAAGGTCAACATGGTATGCTTTTAAATAACACAGTAATCGCCAGTAAGATTAAAGCAAGAAGTTGTAAAATCTGATTCAAAGAACTGACAGAGAAGGTTATTAAAAATAGCTAAATCATCTCTGTGAGCTCTGGGAAACATTATTTGTTTTGACCACTGTTCCAGCACAGAAGAGCAAGTTTTGACCTTTACAGAGAAACTGTTGTAACCTATTTCAGTTAACACAAGTAAGTAACTGTAATGCTGGATTATGGTAGGGAACATTCTCCTTTTGCCTTTTTTTCTTTCTACCTATAAACAATATTTAAAACATTTATGAACAACTAAAAATACATATTTTGAGAAATCAAAGCATCTGTTCTCTGTTAGGATTTTAAATTGGCATTAGGAAATTTTACTTAAATGTCGCTGTGAAGATGATATATTAAATTAAACATAATAAGCTTCCCACATTGACTTGGAAATAATGTGTCAATGTGCTATTTATAACTCAATCACTAATCAGTAGACCTTCAGGGCGGAAATTTCTGAAGTTGCCGTTATTCATCCAGCTCTAGGGATCTGTAGTCCATGGCATTTGCTCACCATGCAGCAGTCAGCTGAGTTAGAAAGCAATAATATTATCTGGAAGTTCTCTTTATGCCCACTGTTACCTGAGATGAGAGCATTATATTGGTGTTTTCAGTAAAAAGTATTTGTGCTTATTAAGATGTAATATAGAAAAGTTATGTAAAATGCTTTATGGTTTATTTGCAGAATGCTTTTTATATACTGGCAAACTGGAGAACAGGTAGCTAGTATGATTTGGCCTGGTAAAAGATTTGGCCTTTACGTCAGAACAGAATTAAGGTAGCATTGGCCACTACTGGAAGACCTGTTCATTTATTCTTTTAGTAAAGAGCTGAGACTCACAACTGGTTAACTCATAAAAATACCTGTAAAGGTTGTAACTGTACAAAAAATCTAGTCCACATTTTTTGGCAGGAGATAGGTTTTAAAGCCAGACAGTTCCTTCCAAGCCAAGCACATTTTCTGAGTTTAACAGATTTTTTCAAAAACATTTAAGTTTAAAGCAAATAAGTCAAATTGAACTTTAGCAAGATGTGATTTTAAAAATCATAGTGGTAATCTAATACAGCTGCATTGGCCTTATTTATAATCATCTGCAGTCTTATTTCTTTTTCAGTCTCTGGAGACTCATAAAATAATTACATAATAAATAATGCTATTTCACTCGGGTGTAAGTATATTCAAAATTCCCCTTGTGAATTCTTCATATTTCATATACAAAAAAACTTATTTAACATTACATATTTTTTTGTACAAGCCTTTAAGTCTTCTGGAAAATGTGTAAGGATCAGTATGCAAGGTCTCAGGACAAAAATCAAAATGTTTTTAAACTGGTGGAAAAAAAATCCCATTGACTTAAAAATATCTTGCATTAGGCTGCAGTGTTCTAGATACCACCAAGTTCCTGTTGAATTCAGCTGGTCGTTCTGTCTAAATTAAGACTGGAATCTGTCCTAGTCTTGAGTCCACTGTTTGCAGACATCAGCTGGTTTATTGGCAGTACCCAAACTCCAGATCAGTTGTTCATCTGTCTGTCTTAGAGAGTTCTAATGCTAATAAAAGTAAATAAGAGGTATTTTGGCTTCTGAAGATAGCAAATGCAACAATTAAATTGCAAATGCTGTTTAAACTTAAAGGATGTTTTAAAAATAGTGGTGGAGTTTCTCTGACGGACTAAGGACACATAAGGATTGAATTAAAAATTCTAACTAACCAGTGTAGACATAAATAATACGCAAACTTTCCAGACACACGTTCCCTTCTTCGTATCACATCTCCCCTTAAAGTTTGTCATACCTATCCTTAAAATATCATTTTAGTATTGGAGAGACAACTCATACGTTTTAGGCAAAATTGTTCAAGTGGAGGACATCAATCAGATCCAAAGTGTCAGGGTGTCATATTCTTACAGATCCCTCTGGAAACTGTAAGTTCCTTGCTGAGTTTTTCCCTGCTTCCTTTTCTCCCACTTCCTTTTCCCCCCTTCTTTTTAACTTTTTTTCTTGGTATACACAGCAAGCAGAGTTTGTTTACAGCAGTAGCAATTTATCCATGTACCTTGATCACCAAAAATGGTTGTATGGCTGTCACTTTCTATCCATGTATCTCTCTGTGACATCAGGACATACCAGACTACGTAATGTTTTTTTCTCTCATTAAGTGGATACAATAGTTGACTGCTGACTTGTTTTTGGTAATTGGTAATTAGAAAATCATCATTTATAATTACTCTTGACAGTTATTGATCGCATGGTATTGTAGAAATAAGTTGTCCTTGGAGATCGTCAACAGAATAAATCCACATAATTAATTGTATTTAGACTTTGAAGCTCTAGCTCGATACTTCTAATTACAGTTGTGTTTAACTCAGTGAAGCTCACTGTTTTCATAAGAGTCTGGCAGTATGTTATTCCACAAGTGTGGAATTGGCATTTTGAGAAACAAGTGTTTTACCGTACAATCTTGTACAGCAATCAGCAGTGCCATGATGGTGATTGCAATACCAGAACCTCAATTTATAAGAAAACTTGTAGTAATTCTAAGCATTTTCAAAAAGAATCATAGACTAGGAATTTATTGTGGTTTTTACAATCTGTATTTAATTCTGTTGGGTTTTTTTTTTTCTTTATCCATGCAGGTTCACCTATGAAATTGCCCCTGTTTTTGTCCTCATGGAACAAATAACACTTCGAAAGATGAGAGAGATTATTGGATGGTCAAATAAGGATGGTGATGGAATATTCTCACCTGGTGAGTTTTTCTTCTCTGTTTTGGTCATTCAACTAAAACTTCAGAAGTCAAAATAAGCAGAAGCCATTTCTGAGTGCTCATGATATCTGTAACATAAAAGAACATGTCATACATTTAGAAATAGGAATGCTTTGGTTAAACGTCCCACAGAAAAGTTGGGGAAAAAACCATCTTTGAGTATGGCTATATATCATGGCTGGTCAACGTTTTAAAACTGGTCTACAAACTCAGGTATGTAGTTAAACATTTAAACACTCTTTTTCTTTTTTTTTTTTTTTTTTTTTCTCCACTGAATTTCTGGAGATGCTGAGCAAAAACAGTTCCTGCTGGTCAATAGCTCTTGAGGATCATATACTCACTTCTGTGGTCAGTGAGGATTTGGGGTCACAATCAGCAAAATACTGTGACTGCCTGTGACATGGTATCTGAGACATAATCTGACTGAATTCACAAGTGCCATTCTAATATGAAGACCAAGACAAAGTCTTGGTCTATCCCATGAAGGTGATATAAAGGCAGTCAGCAGCGACAGGAAAGCCTGGTAAACCATGTGGAAGTCCTGGGCCCATGTGTGGACAGTATGGGTGCCCATCACTACTCCACATTTCAGAGGATGAAGGACAATTCCACTTCCTTTTGGAACAGCCCGTGTAAAATCCAGGAATGCACACTTGCTTGGTCTCCAGTCCCATCTGCTAGAAATGTACAGATGTTTCTCAGTGTTCCTGTGGATGAAGAAACATTAGAGGAAGAAGACTTTATGGATAAGATTCCTCTCACTAAATCTTGGGGTCTGCATTGTAGAAATGAGCTAATTTTCCTGGACTCTTCTTAGCAGTGAAGCACGTGAAATAGATGCTTTCCCCAAGTTCAGATTCTTCAAAAGTCTGTGTCAAATTCAGATTAGCTGAATCATAGCCTGCAAAGCATCTCTTTCCCAGCTCAGCTGTAGAAATCTAGTTTTGGGGCATCTATATTTACAGTGAGATGGGATAAATCCATCCAGTATGCAACATTTCTTCAAATAATTTCTTTATTTGATAAGTTCCTATTACTCTTGCTAACAAGAAGCTGTCATGCAAAAACAGCACAGTGAAAGCTGAAGTTTCTAGGAATGTGTTACAAAATGTTAGCAGCAAAAGGAGATGATGAATGGGAAATTCTGACTCTCAGTGTGACTTTCTAGAGACAGATGACCATGCATTGCAGAGATTTATTTTTTCATAGTTCACTGCCACTTTTACTGCATAACGCAACTGAGACTTGTATGTCTTTGGTCTAATATGCATTTTTTTTCTCATTATCACTATCTGATTATTCATTCATGTATTTACTCACAGGAGGAGCAATCTCCAACATGTACAGCATAATGGCTGCACGCTACAAGTATTTCCCTGAGGTTAAAACCAAAGGCATGGCTGCAGTCCCTAAACTGGTTCTCTTTACCTCGGAACATGTGAGCTTCATACACTGCTAATTCTTACTTTATTGCTGTATGTTGTGAAGATGCTTCATCATTAAACAACCCCTCTGTTAAATGTGCATATGTTTTGCTGCAGAGTCACTACTCAATAAAGAAAGCTGGAGCTGCGCTTGGATTTGGAACAGACAATGTGATTTTGATAAAATGCAATGAAAGGTAGGATGAATGCTAAGGTTTTGATATATTAAATGTGTTCATCTGTTAAATTTGTTGTAGTGTGCTTAAGGACTGATTCAGTACAGTACGTCAAGTTGCTAATGGCCTGTTGAGAAAATCCTATTAAATTATTTCAACTGTAGCTAGTACTTCTATATGCAGTCTTTAATTTTCTTTATCTTTCTACAATCATTACAGAGGCAAAATAATACCAGCTGATTTGGAGGCAAAAATTTTGGAAGCAAAACAAAAGGTTTGTGGCTTTAAAAAACAGTGATTAAATGCCTGGCTTAGTAAAAATACCTCTTCTTTGAAGGCTCAGGGTTAACATTAAAAGAGAACATTATAATGATATAAATATTATAACAATATTTGCAGCTGCTTAATTATACATCATGCATTGTTTAGGGAATTATCTATATGTCTTTCTAAGGTTTCTGTTTGCGGTTTAAAAACAATATATTTTAAGCTCTTGAATCACATCTGCATTTCTGACTTCTAAAAATAACTTTGGAAATATACAGAAAAAATATGAAAACTTACAAAATTAAACATGAAACTAAACCTACTTTTATCCAGACTTTAAAGTTTAGCCAAAATCATCAAAAACTCTATTGAAGTCCTAAAAACGCCCATAGGTTTCAAGTGGGAAGTTGCAGGGTTAGTAAATATAGCCAGTAAGTTTATTTTTTTGAGACGTTATTGTTATTTCTTGAATCAATACAATGTAAAATCCATTAATTTTGTGTAAAACCATCAAAGTTAGAGCAGTCAAAATTACTATTATTTTATTTCTTCTTTCCACTTGGGCACTGTATGAAATCACAGTTCATATTTATTTAATTCGAAATTGTCTCACTTGCATCAGATCGTTCCACATTTATCGCTTTTGGTTTGGATTGCTTTGTTCTGCTTTATTCTGCTTCTTAGATAAAGACTAAAGGAGTAACTTCAAGCCTTCAAATCACAACTTACATATCACAATTGATTTTCCTTTATACTGCTGTAAAAGTCTCAACTTAACTATTCCTTGTCTTCTACTGAAATGTTTGAATGTCCTCACTGAAGATTGGAAAAAAAAATATCCTTTACCTTCCGACCAGTAATTTTGTGAACTTATAGTACAATAAAATCAGAGTTTGTTTCTGCCACGAATACAACTTTGTTAGTTTGTACTGTTGCTTATACATACCTTTTACATGGAAAGAAAAGCATTTTTAGGCTAGAAAATGGGATAGCAGCATTTCTAAAATGATTTTCACATTTATTCTTTTTCTGAAAGAGGTTGGATTTTGTATTTAATGTTTTTATTTTTATTGTAGGGATACATTCCTCTTTTTGTAAATGCAACTGCAGGCACAACAGTATATGGAGCCTTTGATCCAATACAAGAGATTGCAGATATATGTGAAAAATATAACCTCTGGCTCCATGTAGATGTAAGTAACTAAATGAAGTGCTATTATTCAGTCAAAAGAGGTTTTTTGTTTACACGTGTTTTGTCTTGAATTAAAATTTATTTTTATCTATTACTAGATCCTGAGTAAATTAAAATATGTTGTTTTTTCCAAAACAATAAATCTTCTACTTTTTTATCTCTCTTCCAGGCTGCCTGGGGAGGTGGACTCTTAATGTCCCGAAAGCATCGTCATAAATTGAATGGAATAGAAAGGTACTACACAATGCTTATTTGTAATACTGTTATTAAAGCACTTTCATAAGATAAATGACTTTATACAAATTCATGAAAAGATGAATTTGCTGCATTAAGGAGTTTAAACACTAAAGTAGAGAAAAGTAAGACAGACAGGAAAGATTTACATTAGGAAGAATGAAACAATACTATAGAAGAAAACAGTGATGTACAGAAGAGTGAAAGGTAAGTTTTCAGCAGATTTGAAGGAGGACAAGGATATCACTTGGTTAAAAGTTAGAGAGTATGCATAGTTTTGAAGGGATCATAAGTCTCGGAATGGGTGAAGAAGAATTTGAGGAAAAAGTGTGAGAGCTAGGCAGTCTCTGAAGTGTAGGTCTTTGAGAATAACAGTGAGAAATGAGGAAGCCAGAGAAGGTGTTTGAGTGTGAATACCTGTGATAGGAACTCATGACATGGTGAGAATGTGTAGAGATTCTTCCCTGAAAGGTGTTTGCGGTTATTTCCAGAAAATAAGGAGTATATGTTCTGGTTGAAAATGAGTGTTCTGTAAATGAAAGTTTATAAATATATAAATATATATATGCGTGTATATATGTGCTTGCTTTTGTATTGCTTATATATATACACACAAAAAAATATGTATGTGTATACAACAGAGAGTAACATATGTAGAGGCTGAATTAGCAGTTTTTAGAGCAAATTTCAGTACGTATGAGACTGGAAAGGACTATGATAGCACAGAACTGGTACAGTTCTACTGTGTCAGTCAGAGGACTGAGGGAACTTACAGGGAGGCCAGATACTCATTGTGTCTCAGGGCACAGGGCCCTCTGAGTTGATGCCAGGTAGGGATTACACAAAACAAGCAGGAAGCTCTAGTAGAGGCCAGATTCAGGTCTGCAGAAAAGAGGGCATGTCTGCCCCTAGGCACATAGCCCACATTACCAAGATGCCCACTGACACAGAAGCAAGTCTAAATAGTTAATTGAACCAAATTTAAAAAGGCAAAGCATTTGTATTGGGAGCGATAGCAGAATGAGTGTGTGACCCTCCTTCTCTGCCCCAGCCCTTACAATTCAGGCTCAGAAGTCCCATGTGTAGTCTTCAGCACAGTTGTTCCCATATCCAACGATGACGAGGCTGTAAAGTGTTTGTAACCCCATGAGTGTGTTTATATTTCCTCTGAAACCACTCTATCATAAAAGGCTGCCTGTCAGAGTAAAAATCAGGCAAACAATGAAGAACCAGAAGCATAAGATCTTTCCTATCATTGCAGATGTCAGCTTCCAGGGAAGAAAAAAAAGATTTGAAACAAGCTCTACCCATGTACTCTCACATTAACACCAAATTGCTTCCTTGAGTCAACTGTGCTGAAGGTGGGCATGTGTAAAGGTGTAAAATGAGAACAGTGAGCACTGCTTTTCCTTAAGGAAAACAAGCTTTCCTAGCAGTGGGCGTCTCATACAGTAAGTGAAAAACAAGCATAAGATAAAGAATAATGTACACAAGGATGGTAGGAAAACCATGCAGATCCTTCTGTTGCAGGGACAGCAGTGTGCGGTGTGGCAGGAGTACTCTGACTCATACAGACCTCTGCCAGTCCAATTTGTTAGTCACTCGCGTTATGGCAACATGTCTAAATGAGGTCAGCATGGTAATTTCCTTAAACTACACAGGATTTGTGTAGTAGTTAGGCACATCTTTTTTGACCTGAGGTCAATCTAGAGGTGCTAATTAAGACCATCATCTTAAGCAAATACAAAAAGCAGCAGGCCATGAAGTGTGGTGTTATTTCCTTCCTAGGCAGCTGTACGGATCTTCAAACATGGGATGGGGCCCACCTGTACTGCGTAATTGCCTGTCACAGGCCCCAGCTGGGGTCTACTGCCTACACGCAGGCCAGACTTTGCCTGCCCAGAGACATGTGTCTGTAGCAGGCAGACTGCCATGGTACAGAGCGAGGACAGCCTGTGGTAGGATAGCCTCTGGTTGGCTGTGCAGCATAGAGAGTGACCTTTTCATGTTAAAATAAACCTAATGCTCCTTGTGAAAATGACTTTGTCGTGGTTCAAGCCCAGCCGGCAACTTGGAACCACGCAGCCGCTCGCTCACTCCCCCCCTTTTCCTTCCTCCCCCCGCTCCCGGAGGGATGGGGAGGAGAACTGGAGGAATGTAACTCCCACGGGTTGAGATAACAGCTCTCCAGTAACTAAGGTATAATACAAACCACTACTGCTACCAATAATAATGATAAGAGGAATAACAAGGGAAAAGGACACAACCGCTCACCACCCGCCGACCGATACCCAGCCCGACCCGAGCAGCGATCTGGGCCTTCCGGGTAACTCCCCCCAGTTTATAAACGGGGCATGACGTGCTGTGGTATGGAATACCCCTTTGGCCAGTTTGGGTCAGGTGTCCTGTCTCTGCTTCCTCCTGGCTTCCCCTCCTCTCTGGCAAAGCATGAGACTGAGAAAGTCCTTGGTCAGAGTAAACATTACTGAGCAACAACTAAAAACATCGGTGTTATCAGCATTGTTCCCAGACTGAAAGTCAAAAACACAGCACTGCACCAGCTACTAAGAAGGCGAAAAAATGACTGCTGTAGCTGAACCCAGGACAGACTTGAATTGCCTTTCTTTGGAACCCTGAAAGTGAAATAAATGCACTAAACCGAAAACATAGTGCTCTCAAAAGGAAATGAGCTGTTATATAAAATCCTGTTTCTTCACTGTTATATTTGACCTATCAGTTAAGTTTTTAAAAAGATAATGGCCTCCTAAGTCTGAGCTATATGCCTGCTGGATTGCCCTGCCTAAGCAGGAGATTTTAGAGGGATGGTGAACTCCCCAGGTACAGCACAGACTGTGCTGTTCTTTTGGCTGAGGGATGCTACAGCCTAACGTACCGCAGACAGAGGTTGGAATCGTATTTGGAATGTAAGGAATTAGTGGTCCTCGGATGGGGACGAAGGAGTTACTGTGTTGCTCAAAACAGAGGAACTCTGGTTGTGTCAGTGTCTTCTGAGAGCAGGCTGTAGAAAAGGAAGAAGTATCTTTGAATTTTCTTTTAACCATATTGTAAGAACACATGCATAGTCTGTGAAATACGATTATAGACTTTCCTTTTCTGGAACACACAGTGAATCAAAAGGACATTTGGTAATTAATTACTTAGGGTGAAGAAGTCGATGGATGTACAATGTTGGCACATTTATTTTAGCATCATCATTAAAGTGTCTAGGACAGTATGTTAAAAATACTGAACACCTCATCTGTTTGGCTAGTAAATTAGGTGACCTTATGCATCTACTGTGTTTAGAAAAATTTAAGCTTTACATACAGAATGGTAGGACTGTGATGTAAAGTTTTATAGCCTTTTAACAGTCCATAGGCTTGACAAGTTAGTACAGAAAAGGCCTCTCGTGGCTCTAACTGGGAAAGCAAATAGGCATAAGGAGTGTCGTTTCATTTGCTTTCTACTTTTCCAGCAGCTGTTCAGTGAAGAACTGTGGTCTTCAAGAATTAATATTATTTCCTTAATTTTCTGACACAACCCTCCCCCAATCAGTACCTTACATTGATATAACCTGTCAAACTGTTTTTGTTAGTTTTATTAGTGCTGTATTTAGAAGTGGAGTCTTCAGGGAATTAAGTCTAATTAGTTTGACACTAATTAACTGGTATTAGTAATAATATAAACTAATCAGAAGTCTGACATTTCAGTGTTAATGCATGAAAAGATCCTTTCCTGGACAGTCTATCTGGGAAATAAGACACCTGAAACAGTAATAATCTCCATAGTGAAAGCAGCATGGTCAAAACTCCATATATTTCCAGCTGAAACCAGAAAACAAAGATGATTCCTTCAGGTTAAGTTTCTGTTTTCCAGACATATCTGAATGTGTAATTTTTTTGCAGAGCCAACTCGGTTACTTGGAATCCACACAAGATGATGGGAGTTTTGTTACAGTGTTCTGCCATTCTTGTCCGGGAGAAGGTCTGCCTTATATTTAATAATTAAGCAGTTAATAATAATTTTTAAAAGTAAATATCAAGTCCTACTTTCTAAGAGGGTAGTGCAAAATCCATTTAATTTCAAAACTTATTTTGGAAGGAATAATTGTGTGGATTTACATTGTTTAGGAAGTTGTTTTATCTTTTCTGTTTTGATTTGGTGGTTGGTTGTGTTTTGTTAGGGTTTGTTTTGTTTTTTTAAGCTGTATTAGATATTTAGTTGTTGATTTTTTTGCATATTCTAGTAGCAACACTAGAGCCATGCTACTATACTTCATCTGAGCACCTGCTCTGTTGTTTCTTTGATAAACTGAACATAGATCCTTGGTCTTAGTAATGAGTCACAGTCTAAACTGCTTAAATAAAAACTAAATTTTTCACCTTAGAGAGTTGTTTAAAAGTTTCTCAGTTCTTAAGTTTTAATTCTTTTAAGCAATGTTATTTTCCTTAGATGATAAAAAAATTTCATATAATCTGTGGATAGGACTAATTCAATATCTACTAGTTTCTGGCATGTCAATTGCTACTGGAAGAGGTTAGTCAAAGTATTCCCTGTGCACAAGGATGATGGAGTTGTGAGTTCCAGCCCTAGGTCTCCATTGCTCTTCTAGATGACCTGTCTCTAAACTGAAGACATTTATTCCCCTTTATAAAACACTTTGACATCTACTGGAGAGAAGCACTAGCCGTTATTTAGTGCCATGCATGCTTATTGTGCTCAGTATTGCAGGATTTTGGCAAAATTTTTTATTCTCTGTATGAGAACTTTGATGGGTGTTTTTGTATTTATTGATAAACCAGTGTCTTCGAGCTTCCAAGAATGACTAATAAACTATAGAGGAGATGCAAACAATTTTAGAAATGTCCCATGTTTAAGACTTCTGTGTAATGTATCAGAATTTGTTCCTGTGTGTTTACTTCAGAGATGTTTACCAGTAATCCGTAGGTTTCTATTGGTCTGTGGACCATATTTATTTGTAAGCAAAAAACGTCCGGTTTAGGTCATTTGTACTTATATTTATCACTAATTTTAAGTGTCATAAAGCTGGGCAATATATGAAGTTGAAGTCTTCAATTACTTTTTAAAAAATTAATTTTCTGTACCTATCTGCTGCACAAGAGACCATAGCTTTATTCTAGCGTGTAATTTAACTCATCAAAAATCTAAGTCTTAAGAACATAGCCTTACAAAGTGAAGTGGACAAAGTATCAAAAACTAAGAATCCATATTAATCTGAGAATGTTTTTTCGGGTGTGGGTGTGTGGGTATGTAAAACCACATAACTACTCAGGGACAATTCTGTATATATTCAAAATACAGTTTTTATATATTATTAATGCGTACAGTTTTATATGCACATATGCCATGTAAGTGATACAAGTACATGTTTTTCATTACAGGGTATACTTCAAGGGTGCAATCAAATGTGTGCAGGCTATCTCTTCCAGCCAGACAAACAGTATGATGTATCCTATGACACCGGAGATAAGGCAATACAGTGTGGTCGACACGTGGACATTTTCAAATTTTGGTTGATGTGGAAGGCAAAGGTAAATAATAAAAGTTTGGTTCAAAAATCAGAAAAATATTTATTTAATTTGCAAGTCTCATGTAACTGAACACTTTTTATTTTCCTAAGATACATGCCTTTGTAATTACAATCTCTAAATACACATGTATATGAGTATTAAGTGAGAAAAGAGCCATTTGAATTGTGGAACAATGTTAGCCATCGATAAATTCAGCTGGAAGTTAGGAGAAAGGTTTAAGACACTACATGAGTCCTGTAGTAAAACCAGTGAACCAAAATGGTCTTTTGTTGTGATTCTATACACTTTCATCTGAATTTTCTGACAGATTACTTGTAGTAGCAGCAGAGTAGACTTGATGGTTTACAGAAGTCCTTTGAGCATCACATTTCAGCCTAGACTTTATAAGCAACTTTGAAGACAAAGCCTGTTTCTTAAGCAGCTTTGTCCAACTAATGATTTAACAGTTGATTCCCTGGTACTACTGTGGTATGCCTGGATGGCTGAATTTAAGCATGGGCTTATATACAGGTTTACATGTTCACAAAATGAGTGTTCAGGTAGTCAAGAAAACATATTTAATATTTATTTCTTTATCTGCAGTCATCTTACTACTATTCTTCTTGCTTCTCTGCTGACAAAATGGGAATTCAGTTGGGTAACCTGTCCACAGACTAATCTTTTTTATAAAACTGAGATTAAATGTAATGTCAAAATGTACGAACATAAAATAGTTTTCACTTTGGGTGAGAGTTAGACAGCAATAGTAAATAACCTGTGATGTTAAAAGATATTTTCATGCAGATTTGTTCACTGTTGAAGACTGAGGGAAGAAAGTAACAGAACTTAAGATATACAGTTACTTTTAAGCAGATTGTAGACTTGTCATTCTTTATTTCAAAAACTACTTCAGAAAAAGAAACACATCATGTCAGCACAAAATACTTGTAACAATTACTTTAGTTATCAGCATAGGTTTTATTACCAGGCTAAGTACATTTCAGTTAAGATTTATTTTCTTCCTCCAAAATAAATCATTTTGGTACTGTAACCCAGTAATGTGAAACTGCTTATGACACATTAGAATCAGACTGTGACTAGCAACTTTGAAGTGTGTTGCTTATGGTTCTAATTACCAAGTACTGACTACAGACACCATCAAAGCATGGAATGAATGTTTTTCTAATTCCCAGCTGAACACATTTTGTTAAAACTAGTATGCTGACTCTGCCTCTGCTGTTATATTCACCTGTTAAACTGATCTCACTAAAAAAGTAGAACACTTCATAATGAAGAAAAAAAATACAGTGGCAACCATAATGGTTATAGGTCTTATTTAAGATTCAGAAGTAAGATACTTGTGGATGTGATTATTTAAAAATAATATAGATTAAAGTTGATTTGTATATCTGGAATTTAAATTTATCTGGAAATCAGTTGCTTTGGATTTCTGTTTGGTCTTGAGACAAATTCAGGTTTCTTGGACCTGAGTTATCTGAGGTATTAGACAGAACCTGTTTCTAGCAGATTGCATGATTATATTACAAAATTGTTAAGAAAATGTGGTATTAGAAGCTATGGAAATTTTCCTTCAGCATTAGCTGTCATGAGTGATCATACTCTTGTCCTCATAGTAGAAATATACAGCCTTGGTCCAGAAGTATTCTTGTGACTTTACCTTCCATCATTTTATTCAGTACAAAGAACTTACCCCCATATGCAATAATTTAGGAGTGTACTTGTCTGTCTTATTTCTTCATTCGTGTACAAAATGTACTTTAAAAAAAAAAAAGCCAAAAAACTCCACAAGTTGGTTGGGGTTTTTTTAAATTTTTTATTTCTTATTTTATTTATTATCAGTATTCATCTACTTTTTCTGGGATCATGATCTTTCGAAACAAATCAGATATGACATTGCGTAGGCAAATGACTTTTAGCAACCCTATTGCAGGCTTGTGATTGCTGACTTTTTTAAATGCAAATTTCTTACACTGTTCAAAGGAAATGAATTATTTCACAAGTCTCACCCTTTCAACTGAGTTGTCATTCCATGTTCTTAGTCTTTCAGCAAGAGCTGAATAACTTAATATTCATAATATTTTTGGAAACGGGAAAAAACAAAAGCTAAAAATAGTCTACCAAAAATATCAACCCCCCTTGTTATTATCATAATAAATCCTCATAAAGCGAGACCAAACCGAGTAGTGGTCACAGTTAGGCTCCATTTAGCCGCTTTTGTAGTGTTGATAACTTATTTGTAAATTACAAGAAATAATAGTGCTAAATATTTTCTGACTGAAAACATTCAAGAGTGAAGCCTGTCTGAAAAGGTGAATACATTGGAGTAGGAAAAATGACCATATAATTAATACTCACTTTCCTTTTAAACCAGGGTACTGTAGGATTTGAAAATCAGATTAACAAATGCCTGGAGCTGGCAGAATATCTCTACACTAAAATCAAAAACAGAGAAGAATTTGAGATGGTTTTTGAAGGAGAGGTAAGCTTTCTTTAATTTAACCTGTGCGTAGGAAACAAATCTATATGGAACTTTTAAAAGAGTCTTCACACTTTTCACAGTTTTTTAAGCCAACTGCACAAAAATGTTTTTATTTTCTAAAGAACTACATGACTGTTGGCATCTGGGTAGTTTTTTGGCTGAATGCATATGGATTTGTACCATAAATGTCAGATTTATCTCATCCTCTTCTGCAAAAAATGTCTCTGTTTAGGCCATGAAGACTACCTTAATACAATCTACTAATGCTGAGATTCCACATTTTAACATACATAACTGAGAATGACCTATATTGCTGTACATTCTGTTGGTAGTGCCACTGCATAAGCTCTTGATTGATAGAATAACAAATATACTTTGTCTCCATTTACTAAGAAAAGGAAAATTGTGCTGCCCTTGCTCTGATCCTGGAAACCAGTTCCTCATAAAACTGCATGAAGGTGGAAATCATTTGCACTTCATTAGCACCCTAAAATATCATAAATGGGACAATGTATAGGGAATCCAAGACAGCAGATGCAGCCAGCAGTACTGTAATCCATTTATTTTGTTTTAACATGCAGAACTAGGAAACATAATACTGTATTTTGTCTTTCACATCTGTGCTAAAATATGCTACTGACTAGCCTTTAGTGTGTGATTGATGTGTGTTGTTTTGTTTATTGATGTATTTGGTTCTTTTTGCAGCCAGAGCATACAAATGTATGCTTTTGGTACATTCCACCAAGTCTCAGGGGCATGCCAGACTGTGATGAGAGAAGAGAAAAATTACACAGGGTATGTGGTTTTTGTTAAATGCAAAAATGTAGTCTATTCTTTCAACCCAAAGTATTCTGCTTATTAAAAATTACATGTCTGTGTGTTGACAGCTGTTCCAAATTCTGGGACGTTAGTTCTTCAGTTGCTAGTTATGACCTTCATATTTTTTCACCTTTGTCTCCTATTTATACTGAGCCTGAAGTCACTTTTCCTCTATAGAACCAGATACAGAACATAGTCAGTTATTCTTTGTTTTGTATCACTTCTGTTCTCCCAAAATTGTTACAAATCTTTAAAAAGCAGGTAGGCACAAAGACATCCAGTCCTGTTTGGACAGGACAGCATATCAGCAAGAGAAAGGGAAGGGTGGTTATTTGAAAATGCTGGGACAGACAAAGGACATGGAAACCTGTAAGTCCTTCTCAAGTCTTTATTTGGATTATAAATGTGCTTGGTTAGTCATGCATTAATGCATTTCAGTGAAAATTAATACCCTTTGGAGGACTTTGGGATAAATTTATTTGCAGAAATGATTAGAGGGAAGTGAAGACATTGTAGAGGCAGAAGCAGGAAAAATATACTACTCAGGACTAGAGGGAAGTGAAATACATTAATTTTGTAGTAGCATTTTAGACAGACAAAAATGGGATGAAATACATTCAGGAGGCAAAAAATATATTTTATAGTTGTTAAAGTGAATTGCAATTTTTTTTTTTATGTTTGGGAAGGAAGAAGAGTAGGTAAACCTGGGAGGTGTTGTAGAGGATTTTATTTCTACATTACACTGGGGAAAGACAATAGAAGAGTATAAAAAATCCTGGGTCAACCTAATGACATGTTAGGTAAAGAAATCGCCAAAAAAGAGAGAAAAGAAGAAGATAGGTAAGACTGGTAAGAAGGATGAAATGTTTGACATGACCCTGTTCAACATTAGAGAACATTGTAAAGCATCCTACAAAACAGTAAGAGCCAGACATTTGCCTTTGGCTGACAGACAGCAGGAGAAAGAAGGTCTGGATGGAAAAACTGGGCTCAGTCAATACCAAATTTTAAGACTGTCAGCACATTATTCCTTGAAAATTAAAGTGAGGAAGTGAGATTGTGGTAAATGCACAGTACTGTAAAACTACTGGAAGGTTTCCATGCCTTATGCTAACAGAAAATATTCTTTATAACATAGATCTTACTGAAAAATTTCCATCTTTGTTGTGTCCCCCTCCTCTAAGAAAATTGAGAATATATAATATTCTCATGGAAAACATCATTACCCTCACAAAGGTGATCCTGCAGTAGGTTTTCATAAAAAGACAGAAAACATTTCTTCATGGCAAAATCTTCAGTACAAAGAAATGACACATACAATTAATATATAAAATTATTTTGTAGGGAATGCTCTAGGGTACTATTAGTCTATTAATCTAAAAGATGGATGTTATCATTGTCAATTTTGCTTTAAATATCCAATCCTACATATTTAGGTTTTCAAGATTTTTCAGTTAGAAATCTTTCTATAGGAACTAGTGTATTTATGATCAGTCCACTTATTTTTTCCAAATTAAGCAATGATGTGACATATAAAGAAAGAATAATTTTTAAAAAATTACTCTCCTCTCTCTCTCTCTTTCTCTCTTAAATGATAAAGGTGGCACCAAAAATCAAAGCACTGATGATGGAGTCAGGTACTACGATGGTTGGATACCAGCCTCAGGGCGACAAAGTCAACTTCTTCCGAATGGTCATCTCAAACCCAGCAGCAACTAAGTCTGACATTGACTTCCTCATTGAGGAAATAGAGAGATTGGGGCAGGAGCTGTAGTACATTGGTTGAATTATTTATTTCTCTAATTCACTGTTTTCCAGTACTGGCTAATTTTTAAACCCAGTTCTGCAGAACATGTTCTAAGGAATTTCTCTTTCTGTAAGTTCCAATCTCCTAAGACATCCTTAAAAAAAACAACTGTAGGATACTGAAACATATATGTATTGGTAGATCGTATTACTGAGGGAAAATGTATTATCTTGAAGTTGAAGTACTATTGACTCTTACATTGGTCTTGTTTATTGTAGTCAGCAGG